TGAGCAAGAGTGGGTAATCCTGGTAGTGGGTGTGGAGGTGGGCAAGATTGGGTAATCCTGGTAGTGGGTATGGAGGTGGGCAAGGGCTGATAATCCTGGTAGTAGGTATGGAGGTGGGCAGGCATGGGTAATCCTGACTGGCATGCTGGTACTCTGCCATAGCCTCAGTCATTTTCACGAAGGCTGGATCAGGGGTAGAACAACCCCTCACCTACAAGTGGCAGCGCAATGTGATAAACGATTGAAGAGGTGAATTAAAGATGTTGGTCAGAGGCGCCCAATGCTTGAGATCAGTATGGAACATCCCCACAACCACTTGACAGACAATAGACACAGCAATTGCTGCAGGCTGCCCTCCCCAGTGAGGGGCTCCTCATCCTGGCAGCTGTGACTAACTCCGTCCCTCGGTTTTGTGAACCGTGCTGAGTGAGGGGTACGCCTCAGGATGGAAACTCACGCCCTCCTCATCCTTACCCATGATGGCAGGTTGCAGGTGTTTCCAAATGACTGTCCGGCTTCAAATACAAAAAAAAAATCTTTCATTGGATGGCAAGGGTTGGTGGGGTGGGGAGCTGCCACTTGGCCATGAACTCACCAATCCACCAACGTCCCCTCAGCAGATCATCGCCAACATGCTGCAGGGGCTGGACCCCCCCTCCCCAAGTCTGATTGTAACTTGGGGTCCCGAACCCCAGCAGGGAAGTCTTGCCCTGGGTGTGAGCAAACAAATGGAGGAGATCGACCACCATTGACAACACATGGTGTACAGAAGGAGAAATAGGGCACATGGGATGGGATAGAAGGAACAATTTGCAAAGGGGAAGATCGAAGAATGGGAAAGGAGGGACATTTAGAGTCATAGAGATGTACAGCACGGAAACAGACCCCTCGGTCCAACTCAGCCATGCTGACCAGATATCCTAAATTAGTCCCATTTGTCAGCATTTGGCCCATATCCCTCTAAACCCTTCCTATTCATGTACCCATCCACATTCCTTTTAAATATTGTAATTGTACCAGCCTCCAACACTTCCTCTGGCAGCTCATTCCATACACACGCCACTCTCTGCGTGAAAAAGTTAACCCCTTAGGTCCCTTTTAAATCTTTACACCCCCCTCACCTTAAACCAATGCTCTCAACTTTTGGATTCCCCTACCCTGGGGAAAAGACCTTGTCTATTCACCCTATCCATGCCCCGCATGATTTTATAAACCTCTATAAGGTCACCCCTCAGCCTCTGATGCTCCAGAGAAAATAGCGCCAGCCTATTCAGCCTCTTCCTATAGCTCAAACTCTCCAATCCCAGCAACATCCTTGTAAATCTTTTCTGAACCCTTCAGAGATAGCAAGAGCTGCCGATGCTGGAGTCAGAGATAACACAGTGTGGAGCTGGAGGAACACAGCAGGTCAGGCAGCATCAGAGGAGCAGGAAAGCTGACATTTCAGGTCGGGTCCGAAGAAGGGTCCTGACCCGAAACGTCAACTTTCCTGCTCTTCTGATGCTGCCTGGCCTGCTGTGTTCCTTCAGCTGCACACTGTGTTATCTCTTTTTTCTGCACCCTTTCAAGTCTCACAACATCTTTCCTAAAGCCGGGAGACCAGAATTGAACACAGTATTGAAAGTTTATCTACAATGAACTCCATATTAATTTCATGATGCACTTCACCTTATTAAGAATACTTTGACTAGTTTGCTTATGTTCATCACTCTATAGGTTAAAAACCGAACCTACAAAACCTACTGGTTCCCTCTCATTCTATGTCTTTCCTTCGCAGCTATGAAGGAGACCTCCACTCAGCCATGCTACAGCTTGTACAATGAAAGTATGGATGGCCTTTGGAGCAATAATGCCCAATTGGATATTGCTGAGGATCTGAGGACATCTCCGTCTAATGCCAGCCATCCAGCAAGTCCTGAGGAGTTGCCAGAGCCAACCTCAGCAATGGGATTGCTTGCAACTTTGGAAAATAGCAAGTTGAGCGAGGTGGAGGATGGATGGCAGTGTCTACAAGGGAACTGGGATGGTGCCAATCAGCTTCTGGATGAGGGCAAGTCAGCTGAATAGACAATGAACACCCACCGAAACCCACTGCTCAATCCGACGAGCCAGACTTGGTGACATGAAGGAGATCATGTAGAACCTGATAGTGGAGACTCTGTACATCTCATAGATAATTATAACCCTATATCAGACTAAATGGATAAAGCTGAGGAGGACAATCGAAAAGTGGGGGGAACTTCTCCCACGAAAATTAGGAGTTGGAATAGGCCACTTGGCCCCTCAAATTTCCTGTGTCATTTGATAAGATCTGATGCAGCCTCCACTTTCCTACTGACCCCATAGAGAAGCCATGAAGGGTAAAAGCAACATTTGGAAGTAAAGTCACTTATTAGATAATTATGATGATAAATTATAAGGTTTGCCCTGTTGCAATTTATTTTTAATTTATACATTTAATTTAATATTATGTTAGATGTTCTGGGACACAGATTTGAGGTTTTGGGGAAATGGATGTTGGGGGGATGAGAGGAAGAACATTTTTACACGGCGAGTGGTAACAATGTGGACCTCATTGCCTCTGAAGCTGGTACGAGTGGAGACTACGAATGATTTCAAAACAAAATCAAATGGTCTCTTGAGGGTAATAAACTTGCTTCAGGGATACAGTGGGAGAATGGGACAGACTGGATCACTCTACAGGGGGAAACATAGAATCAATGGGCCAGACGGCCTCCTTCTTAGAATTAGAATTAGCTTTATTGTCACATTTACTCCCATGAGCACAGTGAAAAGTTTACAAGTTGCCACTTACAATGCCATCTTAGGTACCTAGGTACAGATTCTTAAGTACAAATTCTTGGGGAAAAATATTAGAAAAATAAAGAAGTAAAAAGTCCAGCAATAAATTAGAGGAATAGAGAAATAAGAGTTCAGAATATCAGTCCTTCCATCTGGACCGTGCTGGGCTTCATCTTGAGGCCGGGAGTTCGAGTCACGCTGAGGCCGGGAGCTCGAGTCCACGCTGAGGCCGGGAGTTTGAGTGTCTGTGACTTAAATGTTGTTTGGCTAAAGTTAAATGGGTTTTGGGATTACACCTCAGACGTTTGACAGATTAATTACAACCAAAGGTTGATGTGTTGGTTCTAGTAGCAAGAGTTGGGTTCAGTGAGTGAATTTATTCAATGTTGAAAATACAACTAACTGGGATGAGTTATGTATAGACACACAAGTAACAACAAGGTGCACTGATTACTTATTCAACATTCTGTAATGGGCTGTAGTTCTCAGTGTGTTTCAGAAGTCTGGCTTCCTGGAATGGATCTTTTCTTTATAAACAAGCTGTTCACAGCTCAGGGACAGGTGAGCCTTCTGAATATGATCACATTGTGGCTGATCACTCAATATCCTTATCTAGTCAACCCTTAATCTATACGATTCTTTTGTTAAATACAACAAAAGTAGATTTGAAGGGTCACCGGACCTGAAACGTTAACTCTGATTTTTTTTCTTCACGGATGCTGCCAGACCTGCTGAGCTTTTTCAGCAACTTCTGTTTTTGTTCCTGATTTACAGTGTCTGCAGTTCTTTCGGTTTTTAAAAGGGGATTTGTGCCTGAGAAATATGAGCTTGTAGCAGAGTGAGCCCTCTTGAGAGACTTGTCAAATCATAACAACTAAGTCAGTCCAAGTGCATATTTTGCAGGCACTAATGACGAGCAATTTTAGCTGAAGGCACAGCACTTTAATACTTAACTGGATTTTCTGTAATAAAAACCATGTGTTCAGTCCTCATTGACTCCTCCTTAGGTCATAAGTAAATGCTCTGGCTCCTGTGGCCTATAAAATTTCATTGTTTTATTTATTATGGGAACATTAGCTGTGGCTCAATGTGTTGCACAGTTATTCTGAGTAGACTAATAGTCCCCACGGTCGTAGCTGGTGACTTCAGCTTCATTTAATTACATCTGAAGTTATGTAGCCTGTGTCAGTATTGGTGACTATGAAATGACCAGATTTTTAAAATATATTTCATAAAACATTCTAGTTCAACTGCCCTTTAGACAAAGATAGTCAGAGACAGACGTGACTTAAAGCCCACATCATTGTGGTTGACTTTTGACTCTGAAATGGCCCAGTGAGTCACTCCATAAACCATTTGTAGTGTTTGGAACCAGGTGGACCTTATTGGCTATGAGATCCTTGATTGGTGCTGCTAACTTGGTCTAATCAGGGAGCCCTAGCTGACGGATATAAACAGGAGATGCAGGGAATCTCCAGGCTTAAGGGACTGAGTCTGAGCAGGCTGGACACACATGCCCACATGTAAATAAAGAGTGAGTTGGTGAAGGGATATCAGCCTCTGTGCAGTTATTTCACCGTTGGACGTAGGATTGGGAGTATGTCACTCAGTCCATCAAGACTTCTCCACTATTCAACTCATTGAACTCATTCAACTGATTGAACATGTCAATGCCTTCCTCAGAATCACAGATTTGTTACAACATTGAAGGAAACCATTTGGCCCCTTGTACCTGCTCTGGTTCTGTTACCTAGAGCCAATCTCCTGCCTTTTCCCCACATTAACCCTATTCATCTTTATGGCATTGATAATCAAAAATACATGAAATATACCAAAAGTCTGAGCTTCCATATCCCTCCCTGGAGGAGAATTCCAAAGATTCACCACCTCATAAGGTCATAGAGTCATTCAGCATCGAAACAGACTCTTTGGTCCAACCAGTCCATGCTGAACATAATCCCAAAGTAAACTAGTCCCACCTGCCTGCTCCTGGGCCATATCCCTCCAAACTTTTTCTATTTATGAACTTATCCAAATATCTTTTAAACGTTCAAACTGTACCCACATCCACCACTTCCTTTGGCAGTTCATTCCACACATGAACCACTCTCTGTGTAAAAACAATTGCCCCTCATGTCCCTTTTAGCTCGTTTCCTCTCACCTTGAAAATATGCCTAGTCTTGAAATCCCCCACCCTAGGGAAAAGACACCTGCCAGTCACCTTATCTATGAGTTTATAAACCTCTATAAGGTCATCCCTCAGCCTCTTATGTTCCAGTGGGAAAAAAAACGTCCCAGCCTATCCAGCCTCTCCTTATAACTCAAACCCTCCATTCCCAACAACATCCTGGTAAATCTCTTCTGAACCCTCTCCAGCTTGATAATATCCTTCCTATTACTGAGCGACCAGAACTGGACACATTACTCCAGAAGAGGCCTCACCAATGTCTTGCACAACCTCAACATGACTTCCCAACTCCTATACTCAAAGGTCTGAGCAATGAAGGCAAGTGTGCTAAACACCTTCTTAACATGTCTACATGTGATGCAACCTTCAAAGAATTATGTACCTGAACCCTTAGATCTCTGTCCTGCAAGACTACCCAAAGCCCTACTTTCAATTTTTAAAAATCGTATAAGTCTGTTTTACCAAAATGCAATGCCTCCCATTTATTTCTTATCTCAACGGCATCCTCCTTATTTTTAAATTGTACCTCCTGCTTCCTGACTGCCAAACCGAGGGGGAAATATCCCCTCTGCATCCACCCTGTCTATCCCTTCAAGTATTTTGTACATTTCAATGAGGGCACCTTTCAATCTTTGAAACTCTGGAGTCTACAGGCCCAGTTTGTCCAATCTCTCTTGAAAGGCCACCCAGGGAATAAGTCTGGTGAACCTCAGTTGCACTCCCTTCATGGGAATTAAATCTTTCAAAAGACACACAGTACTCCAGGTGCAGTCTAACCAAGCTCCTATGCAACTGAGGCTAGACTTCACTCTGCTTGTACTCAGAACTTAAGAATACTAATTAACCTGCCTCATTACACAATGCTCCATCAAAAATAGCCTGTTCCCTAGTTAACAAGGTGTAGAGCTGGATGAACACAGCAGACCAGGCAGCATCAGAGGAGCAGGAAAGCTGACCCTTCTT